TTTTTTTTTTTTTTTTTTGCAGCTTCATCTTGCCGGCGACATCAAATCCGGCGAGAAGAACTCCGGCGACAACAAATCTGGCGAATTAAGTGATCCCGACGTCAAATTTCACAGGCCGAAAATTCATACTTTTCTGGCAACATTGAACTTTTTTTCCGGCGAAAACTTGAAGTAGTAAGTAATATATGTATTATATGAGGACTTTGGAGTCCAACAATCATCTTTAGTTCATATATTTTTGGTTAATTTGTTAATGATTTAATTTCGAATATTTGTTTATATTTACCCTAAAACAAATAAAGTGATCATAATCTCTTTTTTGTTGTTCATGTATACCAAATTTATGCTATTGTTAAGTTATGTTAAGTGTTATTCATCATAAAACAAAAAAATAAATAAGATGATAATAATCATAGTACCACTATTCATGATTTTTGTACCTCTGTTAGTATCTAGTACCACGTTGCTCACTGTTTGGTACCATATGTGCTGGAAAATGTGAAGTTGTTTTGTTTTATCCAATTATTGTTAGATACATGATTGGGGAACAAAGTGATATATTAGGGAGTTGTACCTACAAAAATGAATTGTATGCGTTCTTTATGCATCTTGGATTAGCGTTTGACGAAGTGTACACTCTCATTGCTAAGAGGCGGCCGGTTGTTGATTTGGAAACCGTCATGTTAAACTAAATTGCCCCAAAGAAAAAAAAAAAGAGTTAGTTTGTCCGATGATGAGGATGTGAAAACATGATTCGGTTACATGTTTGCTGGAAAGTAAATATTGTAGAGATACTTGTCATTGAAAGAAATAAAAGCCCGACCATTAGAAGAAATGAAAGACCGGGTGATGGAGTTCAATCCATCCCGATGAGCATGAGCGGGTAATGTTGCTTTCATAATATTAATGAACTTATTATTGTTATATGGTGTTTTTATCATATCCTAGTTCATTAAGTTTTTAACTAGTTCTATTATTTATAAATCTTTGTATTATTTTATCATGAACGTAGGAAAATCGTACCGTATGTTGATTTCTCGGAAGGATAATCGGAGTTGTTAGTGCAAGATAAATCGATCGATTCATGCAGATTTTGCATCAAAGAAGAGGTGCAGATATTCAGTAGCGGCGCCGATGAATTTCGAAAGCGTGTTAATTCAATTACTACATACTTTCGTTGAGTGTAGTGCCACGATTTTATTCATCTATGAGATTGCTCGACTTTAGTTTCAAAAAATAGCAAGTAAATTATTCTAAGTTTCAAGAATTCAATCCAAGTACTTAAATTTAATATTTTAAGCACCAAATTAAATTGGTGAAATTTCATACACAAAAGGTTAATTCAAAAACTAATCCGAAGTCTAAGTTTTTAATTAAATTGGTAAATATGTAAATTAATATAATTTATTAAGTCAAGATACAATATAATTTAAGTCAAGGATGTTAAGTAGGACTTTATAAATCTCGAGCCAAATGCATAACAATTAATATGCGAATTAACGTGATTGTCTAGCGGCAGGATGGTAGAGAAGACGGTCTTGAGGGTCTGGATCCGGGTTTGAGTCCCCCCGCTCATTCCACCATTTTTTTTTTCAATCATACTAAAATTTAATTAGTACCTGTTTTATCCAACATAGTACCACATCTTTTTTTTTTTTTGCACTCGTACTAAAATTTAATTAGTACCTGTTTTATCCAACATAGTACTGCATCTTGTTCTACGTGGTGCATGTTTTTAAACGATTAGTACCTATTTTTAATTACTATAAGTGCTAAAAAAATGGTGGAAGGATCGTGCAGAGAGGGACTCACCCGAGTTTGGGCGATTCCATACTCTCAAGGCCACCTCCTATACCATCCTACCGCTAGGCGATCATATTTATTTATGCCCAAATTTAATTCTTATACCTTTAGCTTGAAATTTATAAAGTCCTACTTATTCTCCTTGGCTTATAAAAATTAAATTGTATTTATTGACTTAATAAATTATATTAATTGACATATTTATCAATTTAATTAAAAACTTAGACTTAGAATTAATTTTAGAATTAACATTTTGTACTTGGAATTTCACCAATTTAACTTGGTGCTTAAAATATTAAATTTAAGTACTTGGATTGAATTCTTGAGACTTAGAATAATTTACTTGCTATTTCTTGGGACTAAAGTCGAACAATCTCATAGATGAATAAAATCGTGGCGCTACATAATCCATTTAGTTGAGTCAACGAAAGTAGGTACTAATTGAATTAAAACCAGTACTACAAAGAAACAAATGTGGTACTGTTATAGGTAAAGCTGGTATTATTTTAGGTACTACAAAAAAGCAAACTGGTGCTATTATAGGTAAAAATCGGTGTTTTTATGTGTTCATTACAAGTGGTACTAAATACCTAATATCAGGTTCTACAACAATATAAAATTGGTACCATCTTACTCTATGTTTGGTACTAATTTTAGTAAATGTTGACCAAAATTAAAATAATTTATTTTCGTTCACAAAAGTAGGTACTAATCGACAAAAAAGAAGTACCGCGTTGAAGAAGATGCGGTACTATTTTGGCTTAAACAGTTACTATTTTAAAAATCGTGATTTCTAATCCTTCATGTCTACCATGACACGTGGCTCGTTCATGCGTGATTTGGATAAAAAAGTAGAAGTTAAAATATATAGGTAGAATTTAGAGTAGTCATGTATTATGATTCTATTAGATGAAGTGTGTCATTCAATGAAATGAAGTGTATTAGTAG